CTTATCACATGTCTTCAGAATTTCTATCACACGTCCTCGCTCCTGTGGGGTCAGATTTCCGTCTCCGATGTCCATCCCTGCTATCCTCTCTTCCGGTAGGCGTTGTGGCTCCTTTTTCTTTCTTTCTTTGATTTCTTTCGCGATCTCTTCTTCTGATACCCCTTCCAGTGCCGATCGCTCGCGGCCCACCGCCGCTGGCTTAACTTTTTGAGCTACTCGCTTGTGTCGCTTGGGTAGCCACCCATAGGGGGCCGTGCCCTTAAAAAAGACACGGATACCACACCACCAAATTCCTCATCTCTTTCCTTTGTTACCCGACTCCCTAAATCTTCCACCTCCACGATCCGTCCTTCTTCCTCTGTGAGCAGTGGTCCATATCTCTTCTCGCGAAATCACCGCGCGGCCGGAGATAGGTAACGACTTAATCTGATCACTGGGTCTTGCACCCACAGCGAGAGCTGCTCTGTTCCTCGGGTCCCGAGGCTCCACTGTCTCAATCATTACCCGCGTCCCGTCTGGCTTCCTAATGGACAATGTTTGACTCCCATCAGGTCGCTCTATCGTCACCGCATGCACGTGGCTCAGCCACGTTCGACCCAAGAGCAGGTCGGAGCTGCAGTTCTTGACCGCAAAAACAGGCAGGGTCACTCGTACCCCTTGAACCTCTATGGCTGCCTTGTGACAAACCCTAGTGATCTGTTCCTTTGTCCCATCAGCCGTCTCTATCTCGAATAGGTATGACCTATCGAGGCCCAGTCCAACCTGTACTGCCAGGTCCTCGTCTATGATGACAGCCTCACTGCCGTTATCGATCACAGCATCAAGTACTGCTCCATCGTTTATAATCGTCTCCACGGCCCCGCTACCAAGTATATAAAACTTGTCTGGAGGCACACCTTCCATCCCATCGAGAAGGACTGTCGCCATGCGATCCGCTCTGGCAATCACCCCCGTTACTGCTACTGTAGAAGCTTCCGCCTTAGGGGCCCCCTGACCCTCCTCTGATAGAGGTATGCGAGTCTTCCGCGTGATCATCTGTAATTCATCACGAGCCGGCTTCGATGCCGCCAGGTACTCCAGAATAGAGCACTGCATGGGTTGCCGAAGGGCCCGCCTCAGTCGCTCGACCGTGTCAATCTCGTCCAGCGTACTCTTCATTAAGAACTTATTCACTCCCCGCTTTCGCGGTGAAAGGATAACCTCCTCTCCATCGACCCGCTGCCCGTCCTTTTCCGCCATCACGTAATCCGTCTCAGTCTTCTTCGATGTAGATCCTCTTGCCGACTTGGTGGCTTCCACCCTTATGGGAGTGGTCGCGATATCCCCCTCAAAGGTTAGCTTGATGCTCTGGCTCCTGACCGACTTCATTCCTTTACTCGTCTTTATTCTCCTTGCTTCGACATTCTCCTTCATCGAAGGGAACATCGATACATCTCCCAGATCATCTGCCCACTTGACGTACTTGCGGTCGTCAAGCACGACAAGTTCCTCATCTATTGCCCGTTTGAGGTCCGGGCAATCCCTCTTGATATGATCTTCTCCTCTACAGTAGACGCATGAGTTCCTGGGAGTAGATGCCTTGTCATCTGCGCCTCTAGAGATCGAACTCCTGGCCACCTTGGGGTCAGGCGACTTGGGATATGGTTCTGACGAGACGC